ACACGCACCTGACCATAAGACGCGGGGTAGGGTTCTGTGTAGTTCCTGACAGCTGAGACAATTGGCTCTGTAATTACAGCGCCACGGTCTCAGTGATCACACAGAGCAGACGAAGAACGGACATTGTTTGCCTGCTCTACGGGCTCTATGGTGAACTCCTATGCCGTAGTCACGGACCCCGAAAGCCGCGGCGGGGAGGCGGACAGGATCGCCGTTGCTCCTTTCATACAAGTGATCTAATCAGATCACTTGTATGAAAATGTGCGTCGGCTCCACACTATACAGTTAGCTCTGCTTGTCAGGAGCAGGGCTAAATGTACAACAAAACTACTCGCCCGGCGGCCAAAACTGCATGTCCCACACCCCTAGGTACACTGTCAGCCCCGCCGCCTCAGCTCTCACACATTCGCTCCTTAAGACGCACAGACATTTTTGCCTGCTTTTTTTTTGGGGGGGGGAGTGCATCTTATGGAGCGAAAAATACTGTACTTCCTTTTTCAGATCTGTGGTGTCTATTACAGGACATCCTCTGGGGATACCTCTGATCAACTACACTCCTCTTTCTAAATGTTCTCCTTTGTAAAGGACAGTCATCACCCTACTAAAAAGCTATAAAGCCCATACATTTTTTTGTTTTTCTAGGAAAGGATTAGCATTACGGTCAGATTTTTATTGAAGTCATTGTCCCCTGGGGAGATTGACTCTCTTCCTTTGTCATAGTTTTGTCAATGACGCAAAGATACAGGAAATAGACTTGTGCCGTGGTCGTTGGAAGAGGAAGTAAAGGGAAATCTGCCAGAGGCCACAATTGTTCTGGTTCTAGCTGCCTGAAAGAGGATTGTAATAGGTCAGCGTCTCACCTAGCCATGATGGAAGATTATATATGTCATACAGTATGACGTATTCACTGCTTTGGCTAACTAGAGAGTTACATTTTAAAACAAACTGGCTATGTCTTAGTCTAATAAGCATTTGCTTTAATTGTCAATGTCCTAAAATGGATGCTAAAGGCCAAACTTTACAGAAATAACACCAGAGACATGAATGATTTCTAAGCAAAATTTAGTAATTGTGTAGTTACAGCTCACTGGAACTGAATTACATGTGTTGAAGGGACATTTAGGTTACATACACGTGGACAGTTAGTCTGCATGTGTGATACCTTTGCAGGACCTAGTTTTTAATTTGGGAATGTGTATGATGGATTTTTCATGGAGGTAGGAAGCCACGCTCCAAAAAGCCTTCGGAATTGATATATGTTCCCACTTTATGTGCAGAAATAAGATGTTTTTGTAATTTGGTGGGTGCTGGCTACTATGTCATGACGTTTCTGCCTGTGATCATTTTTGTCTTGTAATGTCGCAGTTTACACATTCAAGCCAAGATACAGTTATATTAACTTATAACAATGTTTTGATGGAAGGGATGACCGTCTTGACTTTCTAGACATAAAGGCCATTTTTCTGGATATTACATTTGAAGTCCCTTGAAATGTACGTATGCCCTTTTGACTGCGTACACTGTTTCCTCTTGCATATTGCCAAAACATCTACCACAAAGGCATGTGTTCATATTGGTAATTATTGTTTATTGACACCCAGCTACGTTTATGGTGCACCTTGGATTCAGCATGGTGCATTAAAGGAAATATGTCATGAACATAAGAATACCAGACCTCTTCCAACCCTCTCACAATATGTACCTTCCATGTCTGTCCAGTTAGTATCACGCCTCCGTGTAAGTGATGCTGCTGGCTTGAAGCTAGTATGCAGCTTGCAACTTCTATCTTCACTGGCTGCATGCTTGTTTGCATCAGTGCCTCCTCTCATAGTGAAGCTGCAGGATCAGACTAACTGCCCTGAAAAAATGTGTCTCGTGAGAGGGATCAGAGGTGTCAAGAGGTCTTGCAGACAGATCCCATTTAACACTGCATATAGAATCCAGAGTACATCAGATATTTAGCTGATTGTCCATAAATGCTCTCTCACAGCTTTTACCAGTTGCACTTCAATACAGAAAGCTCATACAGCTTCAGGCACAAAGACAGGATGCTTGAAGGGATGATCAGCCAAACAGGCTCAATGAGCAAACAATGTAAAAAATGCAGCCGTACTCCATCTTCCGGCATGTACAAGGAATTATTGTACTTGAAATACATATTTAAAACCTTTTGGGTAAAATGTACCAGAGAGTGAGGTCCTGGTGGGGCCGTGTACTTTTAAGTACAATAACGCCTTCTACATGCTGGAAAACACATCTGCGTTCTTTGCATTGTTTGTTGTGGGAGTTAGAGCTAGCCCCTTGGCAGCCGAAAACAGCACTCGACATGTCCAGGTGAGGCACAAACTCAGCCTGGGGCAGTGTTCACAAGTACGCCTTTCAGATAGGTTCAGTGTTTGTTTGTTGATCCCATAATTTCAGTAGGGTGCAACATTATGTTAATCACTGGAAACCGTGAAAACAGGGAACAACATTATAATTCTCATACTCGGTGATGATGAGTGTATGCTAAAAAAATGACCTAATAATCTCTCTTTATTAATATACACTCCTAAAATGGTAACAGGTTCTTGTAGAGGACTTGTATTTATAATACTGGGTTCACTGAGTTATTTTCTTTTTTCAGTTCTATTATTCATTTTAATTACTAACAGCTTTCTCCAAATTAAGTCCAGAAGATCTTAATATTTTGCAGACTAGGTTTCTCGTCTAGCTGACATGTTGGCCAGAATTTTCTCCTATAGATGGCAGTGTGCCTTTTTCTTGAAAGTTTAACTCTGAGCTGACTGCCTGAAATATACTACACTTCTGGTTTTACAGCAGCAGCATGTTCTGCATTCCTATTTAGACTGTGTATTAGGGTAAACATTTGTTTGATGTGGATCGCATGTGCTGGGCCATACCTAGATGAAGTTTAATCATTTGGTGTATGTTAAATAGCTTGGATCAATGAGAAATGATCATGTTTTTTTATAGCAATTTATTCTTTTATTGCCAAGGTGTCATTACATTTATAATAATTATAGCAAATATAAAGCTAGCCATAATTCAGTAGACTTCTCACTGTTTAGCAATCTTCCCTGCAGGCTATTGTATTCCATTTTTCATCCAGCTCCTTCAATTTTTAAATCAACTTTTGTCATGCATGACAATTCATCAATTTATGCTTATTTAAAAAACAAACAAAAAAACTTGGCTTCAGCTGTGCTATCAGAATTACAAAGGTGTCTGTGATGAACTTAAGAGAGAGGGTTTATTATTATGGTATTGACAAAAATGCTGCTAAAAATGGGGCTTTGTAGTCATTTGTGAATAATTGTAATTCAGTAATTTCACGCATTACTAAGAATTTATAACATTAATCATCTTGGTTAATAGCAGCTTGATCAAGAAAAATCAAATTTCTTAGTCTTCGTGATTTCACACCGTTGATTGCTAGTGAAATATATATGCTACAGTCAGTAGCTAGTTGAGTTTCCTGGGTGTCTATCACAGAATAGGGTTATTTATCTTGCAGGCATTGTAGTGGGTTTTCTAAGTATGCCCTGTAGAGCCTCCCAAGCAGGTTTTTTTCCCCATACCACACTGTTTAACAGAGAAGATGTTGGCTTATGTGCAGTCACTCGGGGCTTGTTCACACCGTGTCCCGACCAGATCCGGACCAGAACATTTTTATCCGCATCTGAAATGCATCCCAATGTATTTCTGGGTTCTGTTCAAACCAGTGCAGTCCATTACAGTGCGAGGGGGGGGGGGGGGGGGGGGGGAATGCTGCATGCACTATTTTTTCTGGTCTGGAATGCACCAAAACACATGTAAACACATCAAAAATGCATGCAAATACACTGTACTGCACCTGAAAGCCCATTGTAAGCTAAAACAAAACCACCGGAACACATAAACAATCAAAATTGCATAAAAAATGCACTGCACTGTGTTTGCAGATCTGCTCCAGACATGGTGTGAACAAGCCCTCATAGAGTGGCAATCTGTGGTAGTGCTGTTCTCTTGCCCCAGGAGACTACAAGACCATTGACTGCAACCACTTGGCTGCAGCCACACTTCGGCTGTCAATTTTCAGCCTGGCTCCCCTGACAAAAGACCATTTAAAAAAATTAGTTTTGTCAAATGGAGTAGTGCTAACAGAGCTACACTTCAGCAGGACTTGGCTGGAGTAGTGCTTGAACTTCAGCAGGACTTGGCTGAAATTTGGGCAGTGTATGGCCACACATGGGCAGATCTCTCACCTAGTCACCTGGAGAAAGAGGATCTCGCTGTCCTGAAAACATTGGTTGTTGTTGGTTTTCCATAAATGATTTAATGCAAAGGAACAGTTTTCTTATTTAGAACTTCTGGCATTATGTATTCACTGCATGGGTGGTGTCACCAAATTGCCTACACTGGTCAGGGGGTATGTGTGTAAATACTTGTTTGAATGTCCTTATCCTTGAGACTTGCAGTACTGTCTAAACCAGTATACTGACTGTGGAGTGGCTATTCCTGTTCTACAGAGAAAAGGGAATGACATGAATCCATGGTAAGAAATGTATTTCTGTTGATTGGCACGTTTAATGGTGTTTATCACTTAAGAGTCAATCCTCCCACAGGTAATGGCAAAATTGGAAGCATACTAGGCCATGAATGGTTCCTGCAGGCGAGCTAATAAAACATTTAATGGTGATATCACCTGACAGGTTAATATCTAATACACCTTCCCCATCTGCTCTGAGAATGTCAATGAAAAAAAATCAATGTCCCAGAACCTAAATTATTTTCTAATCTCACCAGTACCCATGTCAGAGTCACCTCTGTTTAGTACCCACAACAGCTTGACAACCAGTGATTTGTTTTCCTACTTTTACATTTGTTTTTTATTTAGTTTTTTTTTTTGCACCATTTGATTGTTCATTTCTATAAAGTCTGTTGTAGCTTGTGGTTCAATATGATGTTCAATGACTATAAGTGACAGTATGTGGCTTGCTTCTGTTTCCTTCCCTCAGCTCAGTTTGCCCAGTTGCCCCAGCTGACCCCCCAGGAGCGTATGCCTCGTGAAGCTACATTACAGCAGCGGCAAGCTTCCTTAGAAAATTGGCTTCAGAGAGAGGCCCAGACTCTTCAACAATACAGACTGGTATGTTCTAAAAACACCTTAATGGCATTTACACCATCTTGTTTGTCTACTCTACCCTAAAGTGTTGGTTGCTTTGTCAGTGGACTTACTAGAGGCAGTCATGTAGACATGGGAAATGATTTTTTAGGTTGTTGGTTTTCCAGTCTTCTATGTCTTCTGCTAGTAGTAAATGTTCTTGCTATGGTTGGTATACAGTAAGACTCAATATCTGAACAGAGAACTGAAAGTCCAAAGAATAGGTAATTGTTCCTTGTTCTAGAGGTAGCATGGATACTTATACCTCTTCGAATGTATTCACATCTGCGTGCTTTACTGCTCATTTGCAGGAACAGTTTTTATAATATACAGTCTTGTTTGGAAAATAAGGGGATCCTTACCACAGCTTGATGGACAGGATGGAAATTGGGAAGCAATTAAAATACTGCAAACCCCACTGATCGTAGTGAACTGTAGATCTAAACCTCATAGCTGTATAGGTTCATTGTGAATCTTAGGTGCTGCTGCCTCTGACTGCTAGTCTCAGAAGGTATAAAGTGAGATTTGTTGTAGTCACTATCGTGCTGCTCACTGTTCTTGCTGGAGGCTGTGACACGAGGAAACAAAACCATGCCTCTACCAAGATGGCCAACTCCACAGAGTGTAGAACAAGGCATCAGAAGTCAGTAATAGGGGAAATATCAGGTGCAGGGAGACCACAGGGTATGCTGGTCCTTTGCCCAGGGCCTGCCTTTCTGGCCACAGCTTCCAGAGTTAATTTGCTCTTTAAAATATACATACATTTCATTGATTGCAATGGGCTATTGCCCTTTCAGTCTAAACTTTGCTTTTTGCACTGCTTCAGTTTTGGCGATGAAGCATTTGTCAGCGTAAAAACAATCTACAATATTATTTTTTCTCTGCTAGGTTATATTTTAAAGGATTTCTCTACTTTGTAAAAAGATTTGTTTTGACCCCTCTTAAATTACTTGGTAAATAAAATATAAGGGTTTAGCTCCCAGCACAATTTAGATGTTTCATTTACCCTGGAAGATGCAACTGCTTTTTGTTTGTTCTCTTCAAAGTGGATGCCCACATTCAGCCATACATTTAATTTTTTATGGCTTTTCAAAGGCCTGTCTTGTGCTGCTTCTTTAGAAAAAAAAACTTTATTGTGTGTGCCTACTACAGGCAATCTGTTAATTCATAGAAGTGGCTTTTATAGCTACAGAACATCTCATGCTGAGGCAAAGGCCACAAAGTTTGCACAAGACTAGAAGAGGTTAAATCATGGAGTAACAGAGGTAGGTCTGGTGGTTGCAAATAGCTTTTTGTAACAGGCGCTGTATGTCTATGTACTTTGGTAATGTATATCCAATGCTCAAATGAAACAGTAATCTGAAGTATCATAGTGATGAGGCTACTGCAATTTCAGCCTTTTTATCTGCCATGTCGATGTGGCCCAAGGTTTAGAGTTTTCGATTCTACCATTTTCAGTGTATTTTCAGTTTTATCTTACAATGTTACTTATGCAGGATCTGTCAGAGAAGCATCAAAAGACCCTTCAACTTTTACGTAAGCAGCAAACGATTATCTTGGATGACGAGTTGATCCAGTGGAAGAGACGGCAACAACTGGCAGGCAATGGTGGACCGCCAGAAGGAAGTTTAGATCTGTTACAGACATGGTAAGTGATGATTCCAGGCCTCAAGAGCAGAAATGGTATCATCAGCCAGTAATTTTGATGTGGTTATATGCACTTCTGTCATCTCCCACTGCTCAATCTGTCTTGTTTGTAGTCGCATGTCCTTAGACTGATCCAAAGATTCTTTTTGCTTAAAGGGGATTTGAAGCCAATTCATCTTTGTTGTTTTGAAATTTGGAATATATTACTAATTTGACTGTGATAATACATTCAAAAATTTTTTATGGAAGCACTAAGAGTCTGTCATCTGTATTCTCATGACTCAAGCTTTGTTAATAATTCGGTCATTATCCGTGAAAATATGTCTAATAGTTTATGTTGTAACAAAAATGTCAGATTTTGGTTGCTTTGCATTAATGGCATAAGCCAGTATTTGCTAAAGTATTTTATACAGTTAGCTTATTTGAAACAATAGTGTCATCTAATAATGTAATATCATTAATAGAAACATTTTCTAGTTATAGTTCTTATATAAATATATGTAGGGCTTTCCATAATTGCTTATTAGATACGCACACCTTGATTCCTATAAAGAGCATTGAAAAACATATGTACCTTTATTTTTTCTGATTTACTAAAAGCTTAAATCTTAGTTTTCTGAATCGTGTCCCATCAGCAGTTCATGCTCTATTATTCGATCTGTTTACATCCACAATTGGTAGGACCTGGGCCGTGTCCTGTCCATACTATTGAAGAAACTATATTTATGTGGATCTGATATCTACTACACTCTACTACTAACACACTCTCTAAAATGCACAGCATTCAAAGAGGCAAAGCTAAAAAAAAATTACTTAGTTGCGCAACTGGGTCTCATGGGTCGGGGGATGGTGAAACCTAGTCCCATTTAGAACGTATCTGGAAGTTTGTGAAGCAAGGATCATGCAGCCCGATGTAAAGGATAGGAAACGTCTCAAGGTTACTAGTAAAAAGCATCATAACACACAACCGGGCACATAGCCCTAAGTGTAGTATCAAAACATAATTTTAATAAATTAAAAAGTAACGCACTTACATACTATTGGAAAAAAAAGTGCCTGTCACACTACAGGGAGAGTCCAGTGGAAACTACAAATCCCATGATGCATCTCTCTCCGGGAGTCGTGGCTGTGAGAATGTTGCACTGCCTCATGGGATTTATAGTTCCACCACAGCTGGTGGACCACCGGTTTGCTATACCTGGTCTATACCATCATTGGGATTAGAAGAGGATATGGTGAGCTAGTGGTATCCGTTAACCAAACGTTTTGTCTATCTCATTTCCACTTGTACAGGAAGTCTCCACAATTCTATTCCAGGTTGCAGGGGTCAGGCGTTGTTAGGCCTCTTGAGGCGGCTGGCCTACATCAGCCATATTGTCAGTGTGTGCTACAGCTGTTGGGGGGGGATTCTGTGTAGGTAGGGAAACTTTTTTTTAAATTATTTTGCAATGGGTATTTTTCCCCCATGGCAGTACCTGCTTCCCCCTGCTTTTTTTTTATTTTTTATAATAGCTGGCTAAATACCCATACACATGGCCAGAATTGAATAACAAAGCTTGCCCCAGTTGATTTCAATGGGATTTCCTGAGACAAAGATTCTAACCCTTCCTACAATATCCAAAACTAAAAAAAAACCACACACACACAAAAAAACCTTTTGCCTGTAATTACGCTTTAATTCTGCCGCCAGATTATATATAAATATATAAAGCAAGAGAGAGATAAATATAGCTATACAGTAGGTAAAAAAAAGTAGAAAGCATTCAGGTAAGTGCAATACAAAGACGTTTTAGTATGCTAGAGATCTACAATGTAACAAAGTTTTGCTATATTGAATGCTGTCACTTAATTACCTTCTCTTACCAGGTGTGAAAAACTTGCAGAAATCATCTGGCAAAATCGGCAACAGATCAGGCGGGCAGAGCACCTTTGCCAACAGCTTCCCATACCTGGCCCTGTGGAGGAGCTTCTTGCTGAACTCAACGCTACCATCACTGACATAATCTCAGCTTTAGTCACCAGGTAATGCTGTCTATAACAAACCGTTGGTTAATTACTAGCATTAGTATAACAATGTAAGTCTCAGCCAAAAGGCTTCACTTGTGTAAAACTGACAATTAAATAAGGATAAGCTTCTTTAATAAAGTAATGTTAAGAGTAGTAACGTTATAAAAATTTAGTGCTGTACAAAAGCCAATCAGATTTCATTTTTCTCCAAGTCAGATGAAAGATTAAAGCTGCACTTTGTATTAACCCAGTAGTACTTCGCTAATGGCTAAAGAATGTTAATTACACCGGAGTTATTATTTTTAGCAATAGAACAGGGGAAGTTGATCAGTTTGCTGATTGCTATGTGAATAAACACAATGATGTGAATGTTGCTGACGCATACAGTTATACAGTATGTCGTGAGGTCTGGTTGGGGTGACAGGTGGGTGTTCGGTGAGCAGAGGTGGATCCTTTGAAGAGGGCGTGGAAAAAAGAAAAAGCATGCAAGGTGGTCAGAGACCGTGCAAATATATGGAAGAGACAATAACACAAGGAGCTGCATCATGGCCACGACACACCAAACACCCCCCCCGGAGAGTGCGCTAACCTATCAGTCTCCTTTTTCTAACTTTATAATAAATTCTATAAATTGTTATTCTGAATGTTTCTTTTATTAAAAGTTTATTCAGTAAAGCATTGCAAAGACCAGTTGCTTAAAAGCCATAGAAGCATATCAGATTTCTGTTTGCTAATATCAAACTCAAAGAGTAAATCTTTTACGGTCAAATCTAGTTGCTATTGAACACTACCCCATGCCTCCCACATTTAGAGACCCAGCAGGGCTATATTTACATTGGGTATCCAACTGCATGAGAAGTTGTTGTTTTGTTGTGTTTTTTTAAGTTTAGGGTGTCACACATGGTCCAATAAATGCAAACAGTGCCACCGATCCTGTCATTTGGAATGTGGAGGTTAAGAAGCTTTTCCAAACATTGAAAAATGCAGAATTCCAGCCAAAGTGGGCTATTTTCTTACTAATCATCTTTCTTTGGTGTAAGATGATACCATATTTCGCTACCCGAAGAGCAAATTGGGCAGCTTGCATCCACTGAAGTTTGCTTGCCCTCTTACAGAGAGAATATCACTTTTAACATTTATGAAGTACATTTCTGGAGGTTGTTTATATTTGACAGTATAATAGTGGTTTGTTGAGAAATAACAATTACAGAGGCTGAGAACTAAACAAAATTTCAATTTTTCCCATTGCTGACAATCAAATATTTCTTCATTGGTTACTTTGACTAGCACATGCAGTACTCAATTCACATAAATTTTGGGTACATTTTGTATATGGTTGCGTTTCATTCTCTGTTCAGTCTCTGTAGTCTTCTCAGCCCTCACATTTCTCGTATTTCTGCAGCACTTTCATCATTGAGAAGCAGCCACCACAAGTGCTGAAAACACAGACTAAGTTTGCAGCGACAGTTCGGCTACTGGTGGGTGGTAAACTGAATGTCCATATGAATCCACCTCAGGTGAAAGCCACCATTATCAGTGAATTACAGGCCAAGGCTCTGCTGAAGAATGAAAACACACGCAAGTAACTATCAGCGATAAACTGTTTGTTTGTGTTCCATGTGTCCTTCTCCTTCTAGCTTTATTTCCAACTCAGAATTCACCCCTCTCCTCTAGAGCTGTGACTTAGCCTCAGGTAGGACCCTGCCTTTGGAGACTCACTTTGTGAGTTAGCCACGTGGGCTGTCTCCAGTCTAGGCTCCTTTTAAAGCTTCCAAGACCTTTCTGGTGCACTCGCTGTCCTAAGTCTTCCTTTATGGAGACTGGCAAAACCCAGGCAATTTGTTTGTGTTTTCCATGGATCTATCAGCCTTATACCCATTTGAGGAAGACTTTATAAAAAGAGGACTGCCCTGTCTGTGGTTATGGCAGCATCCCATCTTAACAAAGCATTGACCATTCTAGTAGAAGATGCCCCATCAATTAACCACTGGAGGTCCTTTCTAGAACTCTGTTCTCTCTGACACTACCTGCATTGCAACGTGTCTTGGCCATAACATTAGTCTCTCAGACCCTAGCTGGTTGGGCTAAGGCTATTAGAACAGACTTCATCGCCGTAGCAGTGAATCCCTTGACCACAGAGCATCTGGAGCTCAGGCCTGCAGCCTTGAACTACAATGTGGATGGGTAGTTAGAATTCTGAATGGGCTTCCTGTCAGTTAACATGAGGAGTGCTCTCTGACTGAAATGTTGAGCCGCGTGCAAAAAGCTCTTACTTTTCATGCCTACGGCTTTTCATGCATACGGATATTCTCAAAAAGGATGTCTCCAGGGTAAAGATCACCCATCTTCCCCAGCAGAAAAGCCTAGGGCTCTGCCTGGGAAAGAGGAGTCATTTTTGTTGCTCACAGGCCTTTACCTCCAAAGCCAAACCTAAGTCCAGCTCCCAGTCCTCCTGCTAAACCTGGAATTCTAACTCCCCCAAACCCTGAGATATATCTTCTTCAGCATGACAGGGCATTCCATTTTAAGTCGACATCCATTAGCTTTTGCGGACACTCGGACATCCAGCATTTCAGAAGCTTGGGTATAGGGGATAGTTTACAGGGATTGCAATCTAGAATTTCGCTCCTAGCTCCCCCCCTAGTCCTTACTTCCAACTTGCCTGTGTCACTGCATTGCAAATTTCCATGCAGCCCTGGCTGGTCTACTGAAGCAGGGTCTCATTAACACAGTCCCTGTGGCACTACAGCCCCAGGGGTTCTACTCCCATCAGCTCACATTTCCCAAACCAAAATGGGACTTCCACCCCATTTTGGATCTCAACAACCTAAATGTCCTCATTTGGGCCCAGAAATTCTGCATGGAATCCACCAGGTCTGTCATATTCTCCCTTCATTTTGGTCTCCGTGGACATCAAGGATGTGTACCTGCATGTTTCCTATTTTCAAGCGCATAAGCGATTCCTTCCAGTTTTGCTGTATGTCCCCTACACTTTGAGTTTGTTGCCCTGCCATTCAGCCAGTCATCTTCACCAGGTTCATTGTTGCACTTCCAGGACATCCCTATTTATGAGATACCTAGTCGACCTCCGGCTGAAGGAACAATCAACACAGGATCCAGCAGACAGCATTGTCCAGGCAGTCGAGACCATGCAGAGATTGGCTGTGTCCTGAACTTTAAGAAGTCTGTGTTGGACCCAACTCATTAATAGGATTATCTGGGTGTAATTCTAGTTGAAACTGAAGTCCGTTTTTCTTCCCCAGACAGACTTCCCCAGTCTCTGCTCCCAGACTCGAATCTTCGCATGTGCATGACTTTTCTGGGGCTGATGGTAGCCTCTTTTGAGACAGTGCCTTTTGACTAGTTCCACTTCAGACCCCTACAATACAACATCTTGACATCATGGGATAGGCCTGTCCAGTTCTTGGACAGACTGTTTCATCAGGCACCAAAGATCAGGTTGTCCCTGGCTTGGTGGCTTAGGAATCCTGCTCTAGAGTCAGGGAAGTTCTTCCTTTTGATTTACTGGAAGACCCCCACGACAGATGGCAGCCTATGTGGTGGGTAGGAGCTCTGGACACCTTGTCAGTGCAGGGAACTTGGATGCCAGAGGAATCTCATCTCCCGAACAACATTCTGAAACTTCGGGAGATCTGGTTGTCCCTGCAATGCTGGATACCCTTTCTGGAGGGTCAGCCAATCAGAATTCAGTGGAGCAATGTCAAGACAGTGGCATACATTAACCATCAGGGAGAAATTAGAAGTCTCGCCACCACAAGAGTAGCAGATAGGTTCCTTTTCCTCACGTTACAACCTTGCCTGCTGTTAACATCCCAGTCATGGACAATTGGCAGGCAGATTTACTTAGCTGGCAGTACCGGGACCCGGGGAATGGTCCCTACAACTAGGGGGTGTTCCAGAATCAGTGTCATAGGTGGGGGACGCTGGATGTGGACCTCCTGTCCTCCAGGTTCACCGACAAACTGGACTGGTATGTTTCTAGGTACAGGTAATTCTCTTTTGGAAGCACTGGATGCTTTGATGGCTCCATGGGATCAGTACAGCTTATTATATATGCCTTTCTTCCACTGAAACTTCTTCCTCACCCTAGTAATCCTCATAGCTCCTGGACTAGCCCAGGCAGATGTGGTACTCTGTCCTGATCAGACTCCTGGCAGGACCAATTTACCACCATGCGTCTTGGCCCCTGGCTGATCCCCATGATGCCAAAGGATGGGAACTCTACTTAGCCACTGCAGAATTCTTTTTACATATTGGTCTATTACTATATTGTGCTGTCAAATATCACAATGTGTAGTGACTTATTTTGCTGATCTATATTTCTTTGTGTTACAGTGAAAGCAGTGGAGAGATCTTAAACAACTGTTGTGTGATGGAGTACCACCAGGCTACTGGAACACTCAGCGCTCACTTCAGAAATATGGTAGTTTCTAACAGTTGCTTGTTTAGGGAAATATTCACATGTGGCTCTCGTTTTGCTTCCATCAGCCTCTCAACTGTTTTTTATCACACTAATCTGTTTAAGCACCTGCTGCATTATACATTGAGGGCCTGTTCACACGACGTCCGTTTTCTGTGCTGACCTGATCCGTACGCTCCTGCACTAAAAATGTATCCCTATGTGTTTTCTGGGCTACAGTTCTCACGTGCACAGTCCGTTCAGGTTACGACAGAAAAATACTGCATGTCACATTTTGTACAGTCCGGAAACGCAAAACGCATCAAAAACGCACTGCACTGCATCTAACATACTGACAGCTCCACTCCAGCAACATAGCACCGCGTCTGCTGATCCGCACCTGATCCGCACCTGATCAGGACCTGAAACTCATGTGAACAGGTCCTAACAAGTATGGAGCTATGCAGAGGACATCTGATTTATTTAATTTCAATTCTGTATACCATTCTTATACCATTCTTATTATGTAATGTTTTAAAGTAGTATACAACTCTCAAACATGTTTTCAATAATGAATCCTGATCAAACAAATATACATTGCCCAGCAAAGCATTACTTTACATTTTTGCCCAAACACTTACAATCATCATGTTTCTGAACAGTTGCTTGCAAGTCTCTCAGCTCAGCTTCCCTGAACTTCCTGTCCAGTATAAGATCGCAAAGGACAGAGCAGACTCCAGCAACTGTTAATCTACTAGCTTGGAGGAGAGAGGAGTAGTTTGATTTGCTGTGTTTGTGCAGACACACACAGCTTACTAGCACACACAAGGGTGACTCCACAGCACTCTGCTTGAGAAAGGAGTCACTATAAAACAGGAAATCAGGACCAGTGCTCAGGGGACCAGATGAATCTGCAGGAAACTACAACTTTGAAATATCAAGGAGCAGCATTCATTGTAAGTGATTTCATAGGCATTTGAAATAGCTTAAAATCCTTTTGACTTTAATATCACTTTAAGTGTTCCCACACATTTTTGGTGTAGGCTAACAAATGATGGTGTCCTCTATGCTATGCAGAGGGCATCAGTTAATGTACATAAAGAGGCCATTACCCTTGTGCAAGTTATCATATAATTAGATTCCTGAAAATATGCATAATAGTGCGTACAACTGCACACAGACTGTTTTCACAATATTAAGGTGCTTTAGTTCAGCGATTCACAGTTTTTTAAATTATTTAAGTTCTAAGTTTCTCCAGGGCTCAGTGCTTCAGTGCTTGGCTTTAGTTTTGTTGCTTTAGTCCTTAGCGCTCAGTGCTTCAGTGCTTGGCTTTAGTTTTGTTGCTTTAGTCCTTAGCGCTCAGTGCTTCAGTGCTTGGCTTTAGTTTTGTTGCTTTAGTCCTTAGCGCTCAGTGCTTCAGTGCTTGGCTTTAGTTTTGTTGCTTTAGTCCTTAGCGCTTTAGGCATTGAGATAGCTTAAAGTGTATTTTTACCTTTGCAGTCAAATTTGAGAATCCTCCCACTATATATTTGTTATGTCTTCCCATTCAAATAGCATACCTAAAAATATTTTGTACAGAATACTCTTTCTAGTTGTTTCTTTGGAGCAGGTTTATACATAGGACTCTAAAAGAAGCCTGCAATGTGAAATTAGGGGACAGATTTAGGGCAAAAAACATGTAAGTGCATTAATATCCAGTGTACCACCCAAGTCTTGCAATCTTTAACCCTTTCTTAGGGCAGACAGTGTGCACATCTAGTTTACACCTGATAATGAAGATCTGCCAGCACAGTAAGGCAAGATTAATTAAACATCCCCAGCCTCCTCCTTTACATTACAAAGAAGGCATTTTTCAGCAAGTAAAAAGTAAGCAGCACGTTTTAATTATTTTTTTTTAAGTTATGCTATGTGAGTGGGAGCAAGTAACAAATATAAAGTAGGTGTTATCCCAATTTGTTCTGCAAAAGTAGAAATACACTGAGCTTCTCAGAGATTTGGTGCTTCAGTCCTAAGGTTTTCAGGCATAATTTGTTTTTCAGTCCTGAGCTTCTCAGACATTCACCGTTTTGGTCCTCAGCTTTTCAGACATTCGGCGCTTCAGTCCTGAGGTTCCCAAGCATTCAGTGCTTCAGTCCGGAATGTCTCATGGATTTAGTGCTTCAGTATTTAGTTGCTAATTGATTCAGTCCTGAACTACCCAAGAGATTTGATTCTTCAGTGCTAAGCCACTCAATGTTTCAGTTCTTGGGTCCTGACATTCACAGGGCTTCAGGCATACTTTGAGTTATTACCCAGAATATCTGTGCAGGATTTATTGCTTTTCTCTGACTTTCCTGATCTACATACTTTTTTCATTGCTCAAACGTATTAAAGCTAGTTAGTCAGAAAAACAACCAGGCAGCTTTCATTTTCAAAACCAGATCAGCAGTGGTAGCCCCATTATTTCTGAAATATTTACTTTTAGGCAATATTTTTTAGTTTAAGCCCAGATGGAGTCTCATACCTCTTTTTTCGTTATATTGTGCTACGTTGCTGTGTGTTAGGATTTTCTACTTTCAGTTGGAAATGCCTAAAAAACTATTTTCCCTTGGTGCAAATGTGCTTTCACCTCGTGCTCTCATAATGACCACACCCCTCAGCACAAATGTCTTCAAACAAAACAGATTTTTATTGCTTAGGAAGTGATTCATAGACATAAAATTGTCATGGCCAGATGGGCGATTGTCATCTCATTTCTAAGGGTACCCTTAGCCAATAATACAGCTAAGATCAGCCACTTGCCAGTTCAGGCTAAAGAGACACGTTGCAGTCATTTCCATTGGCAAGACCTCAACTTTAGCTCCGAAAATAATGATTCCAACATCAAAACTTAAATCTGCTTCTTCTCAAAATATCCTAAATAGTTGTATAATTAAGGCTTACTGGTCACTTAATGTGAAACTTACAGAACGTATGCATTAGGTGGCACGTCATTGTCTAAATAATCATAATCCTATTTCACATATGGCAAATAAAACTTGCTGTTATCAAATATTAATAAAACATATATAATATATATATATATATATATATATGTGCCAAATTATTGCCTATAGTATCGTCATGCTTATTATTATGCAGCAAACGAGATCAAATAGCGATAATGTAATAAGATGAATATTTGGGTGATTTTTCTTTTTTTCTTTTCTCCAGTCCCTAAAGCGGATTAAGCGGTCAGACAGGCGGGGAGCAGAATCGGTAACAGAGGAGAAATTCACTATCCTGTTTGAATCTCAATTTAGTGTGGGAGGAAATGAACTAGTGTTCCAGGTCAAGGTGAGTACTCCATGGTGCCTATGAAATTGCCTGCAAATTCTCAGGTTCTGCATATGACAACCAGTTGTCATCTGTGAGGGCCTGTGCTTTACTAAGTCTGTGGTAACATTAGTTGTTTCTTATTCCAAGTGACAACAAGATCTAGGGGGGTATTTTCTGGACTTTAATGTCATGTAGCCTATATATTTTCATAGTTTGTACAGTAGATGTGCATGTTTACAGGGCCGGCCTAAGGGGTGTGCGAGCAGTGCGGCCGCACAGGGCGCCATGGCAACAAGGGCGCCGTGCGGCCGACACAGCTCGTCCTGGGGGCAGCTTCTCTTCCCCTCCCCGCTGGGCCGTGGCCCGACGATAT